ATAAAAGTCTAGAACCTCTGACTTTTACATTATAGTTTTTAATAAAAGAATATTTAATGTACTTAGCTTAAAGCGACAACACAGAAATGGCCGACCAAGTATAATGTTTGGAGAGTTAAACAAATACTATCATTCGTTAACGCATGTATACATTTCTCTGTGAACCGTTTGATTTGAATGATTGCGTCTATTATTGATACAACTTTACCGTCAATTGGCGTATCAAGCACCTTTTGTTTAATGGTTGTTGTTACATATATCTGCTTATTTGATTTACGTTGTATGATACGATACAATATTTAATGGACCTAAAAAAAATTGATGTTTTCAATTTAGGAGCATTAGTGCAATGTACACTCTTGTCAACAGTATATTTTTTTAAACATGTGGCATGGTACAGAAGTTTAATTATTAATGTCACGACATAGCAGAAAAGTTGTAGCTTTTGCTAAGTGTTTACAATTCGTCGATCCTACAACTATTTCATTTCTAAGCATCGGCTGGGCCAATGAAACATGTAATGTATTGACAATGGCAGGGTATCTCAATTTTTTCTGCTGCGGCTCCTTTTTCCTCTTGTCTGCGAGATTCCCATCTAGAGTACGCGAAATTGTAACAATATTTATCATATTTCGTTTAATATTTGTAAAAAAAAATAAAGTACCATTTCGCTCCATGTGACAGGTGAAATAGAGTTCATCTGTTTGAATGAAGAGATAATGTGGTCAGTACTATTCTCAGCCTCCTGATTTCATTTAGGTACCAATTAGAGCTGGATGGGCTCAGGGACATCGTGTGGACTCCAGCCCGTGATCCGAGCTTGTCACTTCCTGGTTGCATTCAAACGCTCTACCATTCGACCACTCCGTCCTTAGTTAACACTATGGGCTCAACATTTCAAACAAAAGTAGTCAATAGTAAACGTGCTGCAATGTGGTCAGAACTAAACACACACGCCTTTATTTTCCCCAATGTATGCTAGGTACCCAGCTGAGCTGAGTGGACTCAATGACATGCTACGGTCACAAAGTCCGAACCGAGATCCAAACTCGGAAACTTCTGGCTAGCATACAGAGTATAGAGAAAGTATTGTAATCGTGCCCAAAAATCGCATGAAATTTTGAGTTTTCGCTGTTTTACAACTCAGTCCTTCATCACATCCGGAGTATAGAGGGTTTTTTTTTAATCGGGCAAAAATTATAAATCCAGATATATAAATTTTTTGGCCTTGTATGCGTAATCTAGTCGGAAAAACTGGACTTTGCAATTCTGTCCGTATGTGTGTGTGTGTGTGTGTGTGTGTAAACACGATAACTTGATGTGGAACTTATTCTACTTTCAATTTTTCAAAAGCAGATAACTTGAGTACTATTTGAGATAGATAAACGAAATTTCACATATAAGTAAATAAATCGGGAGCTATCTCCCCTAAACTTTCTCGAATATTCTTTTATAAAAAAACAGGGGATGGGAACTCGGGATATAGACATGAATTTTAATCCATTTTAAATACTTAAACTTTTAAAAATAGAATAAAATCTCGTAGAAAAAAGAATTGCACACATGTGAACGCCAAATAAAACGTGCATAATAGAGCGGAATATTATTAGTTTTAATTTACATTCGTTTTTTGAGAAATCGAAAATAGCGTAAATTAGTACTTTCAATCAACGGAAACTACTGAAAATTTGACAGAAGGTAGAGAATTAGATCTATTACTTACATGTGAAATTTTATTTTTCTATCTGAAATAGTACTCAAGTTATAGGGTTTTGAAAAATTCAAAGTAGAAAAAGTACCACTTCCGGTTATCGGAAATCACCCAAAAGCTGATACGGATCTACAATTTTGATAAAATACTTATATATGAAATTTCATCAACCTAGCTGTAACGGTACTCAAGTTATCGTGTTTACACACAGACAGACACACATACAAAGGACAGAATTGCAAAGTCCAGTTTTTACGACTCGATAACGCATAAAACGCCAAAATGTTTATATATTTGTATTTATAATTTTTGTCTGATTTAAATAAGTCCTCTATACTCCGGATGTGATGAAGGATTGAGAATTAAAACGGTGAAAACTGTCCAAATTTTGTTATTTTTGTGCACGTTTACAATACTTTCTCTATACTTCGTATATACGAGAAAGTAAAAATCTAATTATCTGCTTCTCTCAAATATTGAGTAATTTTCATTGACCGAAAATAGTCATTTACGCTATTTCCTATTTCTAAAAAAAACGCACATGAATTTATAAAATACTAATAATATTCCGCACTAGTATCTACATATTGTTTGGCGTTCACTTGGTGCGCAATTTTTTTTTCTATGAGATTTTATTCTATTTTAAAAAGCTTAAGTAATTAAAATTAGATTAAAAATCATGTCCATATTGTGATGTGCCATTATCATATAAGAGTATTCGAGAAAGTTTAAGGAAGATCACTCCCGGTTTATTTGTGGAAATTCAACTAAGAATGTTTTGTTATATTTACTAGACATTTTCCCTTAACAGAAGTTTTAGCACTGTACATCTAACATTTATAGTATGACGTGTGCACACATAAAGATCTAGATCCGACAGTGATAATAAGCAAAAATACGAATACATTGGTGAATTATTGAATTTTTTTTTAACCAAACTGGTTCCCCCATTATTATCGAAACGTGGAGGATACTGTATAATACGTCTAGAGATTATAGTCAGAGACCTGCATATAGAAAGCTTTTATTCATCTACGTCACTATTGTACAGCTATAAACAGCAGTAGGCCCATACAGTAACTCATAAAACAAAGTTAGTGCGGATAGTAATAATCATATATTTGTCAAGGGAGACGAAATGGATTAGTAGTTTCTAATGGTCTTTAGACAGTTGTCTCTCTTAAACAATCTAACTTTGTTGTATTATTCTTATTTTTTAGGGAGGTAATTTTCTTTTTACGTCATTTACTGTAAAAATAAAAAATAAACGGCGTTAACAACCCACAGACAAACAGCAAAGTGAATTGTTTTTATTTAATGTTGTACTTTTATAGAGCACATTATTGTCACGAACATGTACTTTGACGATGTATTCTAACTAAAATAAAAAAAAAAATTCTGCGCTTCTGCTTGATGCCTAGAAATTAAGTTAGCAAGAAAAGTATTAAGTACACATTTTATAAACGTGTGCCATTATGTTGGAGAAAACAAAATATATTGCAAAAAAAATTCCATTTTTTAAAATTGCAAAGTCTTTGTAGAATTTGTTTTTCGTATTTGATCAAATTGCACATTCACTGCACTGCCTTTTCCGTAATTGTAAATAATGCAATCATTCTAAAATTTAATTTAGGACAACAACACTGTAGGATTTATCAAAGACTAATGGGTCTAATATTACTAGAGTATTATTGTAAACACGACACGTCTTAATGGACACGCAACGTTTTCAGGACAGAAGGAAAAACACTTATTGTGTATAACAGGTCTGAATAAACGAAATAACCAAAAACGAGATTACCAACATCATAAAAAATGGCATTAGCCAAGATGTAGTGAGGGACTACTCGTATCTCGTATCATTCATAAAACGACAGTGTGCACACACTGATTCTACAACCCTTTCTTTAACTTGATTACTCTGGGTGTTTGTCAAGCAAGACACTTTTTTATCGTATCTTATGTTTGAATTTCCACATAATTATATCACAATAATTATTCCACTTGAAAAGTATTCCAAGCATTTTGACATGAAATTTGACATAATTAGAAGTATTTCAATTTTTTGGACATTGTTGTTACATTTGCCAAAAATAATTCGTAAACAATGAAAACGTATTTACTTGTTACTAATATAAATTATGGATCAAATAAACCGATACATATTTAAAACATTTATACGAACTAATTTTCAAGTTATTTACTAAAAACATTTATTTGAAATGTCTTAAATTATATACTTTCCAACTCACGAAATCATGCAACTTAAAATACACATTTTTTGACAATTAAATTAGGATAATCTATCTTTCTTGTTTTGTACATTCTGATATTGTTGAGCCAAAGTCAGCGTGTATTGTCATTTTACGAATAAAATTCGTAAATTCAGTCTTAATTAAAAATTTTGTTTTCCTAAAATTATTCGGTCAATTACATATAAAGGAACAATTTGTTCAATTCACTGTTACAATTTTTTTTAAAATTTCAAATCTAACAAGTGAATATGTAGCTACACAACCCATAAACTCGGTTGGCTTTAGCAAAACATTTTAAGTAATTTTTAATAATGGGGAGGGGGGGGGGGGGAGAGAATCAAAGAGATGTTTTTTTGGAGAAAAAAAACAAACAGCCAAACTGATAAAAATTTGACTAGCTTGAGATTCTTTATATCTATTTTATAAAAGTAGTGAAAAAAAAAAACAACGATCTTTCTGCAGAAAGATTTACAAAAACAAATTACATGAAAATATTTTTATTTTTCTCATCTAGAGAAACGTCGTATAATCTTTATTCAAGTTGCTTAACTAAAATCTATTTATAACTAAATTATTTTGATAAACTAATCAGAATTCTTCTAATTTAATTTAATGTAAATTTGAACATAGATTTTTTTTTTAAATCAAAGGCTTGTTTATTTATGACATTCAGCATTGTGAAAAAAATGGGATGTTTTTGTTTTTTAAGGAAAGCCAAAACTCAAGAAGGTATTATTTTTCCTTACGGGAATTTTAACTAAACCAGGTATTAATATTATACATGGGAATTTTAACAAAACCTGGTACGAATGCTATACAATTGCATGGGTTGAATATTAAACTTTTGTAAAGGTCTGCACTTGTTTCAAATTTAGAATAAATTAGAAAGTATAACTTTATATGAAAAATGATTAATCTTTCGTTTTTTGCATATTGTTTTTGTATTTCCTACCCAGAGATGAAAATTGCTCTACCTCAGAAAACAAATTGTGCTTCGTTCAACTAAGTTAGGATAATTTACTTTTTATAAACAGCTAAACGATAGGTCTAAATTTAATTTCACATTTCTCAATGTTGCCGTAGTCTCCTGTGAGGTCGTACCAGTTGAGTCCCATGCTGTAGTCGGTGCTGCCCCAGTTGCCGTTGAGGTGGGCGTAGTGGCAGTAGGAGTACCACCACCCTGCTCTGTAGATGAGCGCGCAGTTAGCGTTCGATTTGACGTCGTTGTCTCTGTCGAACGTCGTGAACTTCCGGTTGACGTTAAGTCGTGACATGGCGTCCCCAGCATCGCCGGAGTAGTTGGAGAACTGCAGCCTGTAGCCATCCGTTTCGTTGTTGAACTTGAAATAGGAATAGAGCGCGTAGTATGGCTTCCCTAAATAGGTCAGATCAAACCTCAGCTCGTGCGGGCCAGTTGAGCTTAGCTTGTAGACGTTCTCATTCCCGAGGTAAAAATTGCCCACGTTGTAGTCCCCGAAACCTTCCTTGTAATCATTCCAGCTGCGGAAAAATTCCGTGACACCGGAAACCCGTCGCTGGAAAATGGTCCAGCCGCCTCCGTCCGTCTGTGTGTCACACATGACCACCTGACCGGAAGTGAGTTGGACAAGTTTTCTTGGCTCTGTTGTGTTCCTCACCTCCATACACGATGTGTAGTTGGCGTTCTCTGAAAATATATTGGTACATTTAATATAGAAGTTCTAAGGATCACCTCCATACAAGATGTGTAGTTGGCGTTCTCTGAAAATATATTGGTACATTTAATATAGAAGTTCTAAGGATCACCTCCATACACGACGTGTAGCTGGTGTTCTCTGAAAATATATTGGTACATTTAATATAGAAGTTCTAAGGATCACCTCCATACAAGATGTGTAGTTGGCGTTCTCTGAAAATATATTGGTACATTTAATATAGAAGTTCTAAGGATCTCCTCCATACACGACGTGTAGCTGGTGTTCTCTGAAAATATATTGGTACATTTAATATAGAAGTTCTAAGGATCACCTCCATACACGATGTGTAGTTGGCGTTCTCTGAAAATATATTGGTACATTTAATATAGAAGTTCTAAGTATCACCTCCATACATGATGTGTAGTTGGCGTTCTCTGAAAATATATTGGCACATTTAATATAGAAGTTCTAAGTATCACCTCCATACATGATGTGTAGTTGGCGTTCTCTGAAAATATATTGGTACATTTAATATAGAAGTTCTAAGGATCTCCTCCATACACGATGTGTAGTTGGTGTTCTCTGAAAATATATTGGTACATTTAATATAGAAGTTCTAAGGATCACCTCCATACAAGATGTGTAGTTGGCGTTAGCTGAAAATATATTGGTACATTTAATATAGAAGTTCTAAGGATCACCTCTATACACGATGTGTAGTTGGTGTTCTCTGAAAATATATTGGCACATTTAATATAGAAGTTCTAAGGATCACCTCTATACACGATGTGTAGTTGGTGTTCTCTGAAAAAAACAATTATGCATTAAATATAGAAGTTCTACGGATCACCTCCATAAACAATTTGTTGTTGGTGTTCACTGAAAATATAATAACTGATTTAGTATGGAACTAATTTTTATACGCCATTAAAAGATTATGAATACATTATTCTAAAGAGACCAACATTGACGCAAATAAATTTTGTGTGTGTTAATTTCCGCTGATTTCTTAATGTTTCTTTTGTTAGCGTAAATAGTAATCCTTTTTAAATTTCAAAATGTCATTTCATTTTTGCTACAACTTGGATTTTTTTACTAGCTTTAGATACGAAGCAAACAAAAATGTGAAACTCAATAGAGCTTTACAATGGTTGTAAAAATAATCGCTTTAATGAGATTAGGAAATGGATTCAAAGGTTTTTTGTCATCGATCTCTATCGTCCCGGGCATGAAATTTAACAATCGGCCATTAAAGTAATTCAGTAGTCAGCATGTCGGCTGCTAGGTATTGATCGTTATTTAATTATTCATGAAGATCTCTTCTTAACTTTTTTTTTCGGTTAGTTTAGAAAAGCATAAAATGGACTTCGTATCCTCTAGTACAATATTTAATTTGAAGCACATTTTTTAAACTATTATAAACCCCTCCCGACACGGTGATCGAATTAGTACACATGAGATTTGACCAAAACATAATTTCTAAGTAAAAAAAAACAACTATATTGTTTTTCACTCTTTGTATTCCGGCACCTTTTTTACTTTCTCGTATATACGTAGTATAGAGAAAGTATTGTAATCGTGAAAAAAAAATCTCGACGTTTTACACCTCACTGATACGGAAAAACATAATTTTGCAATCTTGTCCGTCTGTCTGTGTGTGTGTGTGTGTGTGTGTGTGTGTGTGTGTCTGTGTCTGTGTCTGTGTGTCCGTGTGTAAACACGATTACTTGAGTACCGTTACAGCTAGGTTGATGAAATTTCATATATAAGTATTTTATCAAAATCGTAGATCCGTATCAACTTTTGAGCGATTTCCGATAACCGGAAGTGGTACTTTTCCTACCTTGAATTTTTCAAAAGTCTATAACTTGAGTACCATTTCAGATAGATACATGAAATTTCACATGTCACTAAAAGATCTAATTCTCTACCTTCTGTTAAATTTTGAGTAATTTGCGTTGACTGGAAGTAGTAATTTACGCTACTTTCGATTTCTCAAAAAACCAATGTAAATTTTAGAATTACTAATAATATTGCGCACTATTATGCGCTTTTTTATTTGGCGTTCACTTGGTGTGCAATTAATTTGTCTACGAGATTTTATTCTATTTTTAAAACTTTAAGTATTTAAAATGGATTAAAAATCATGTCTATAGCCCGGACAGACAGACACACAGACACACAGACATACGGACAAGATTGCAAAATTATGTTTTTCCGTATCAGTGAGGTGTAAAACGTCGAGATTTGTAAAAATCTCGATTTTTTTTTTGCACGATTACAAGACTTTCTCTATACTTCGTATATACGAGAAAGTAAAAATGAATAAAATACAAGCGGCATTTCAATCGCTCTGAAATTTAATGTAGCTATTATTCACGTGTGTTTCACGACAAAGAGCCGACCCATAGCTTTATTTAAAAGTATAGACTTGGTTTTTTAGAGTTACCATAGCGAACTACGTATTTTTTTATATTATATTTTAAATTACTAAATACAATACAGATACAAATAAAATAACCGCACGAAAAAAGCTTTAAACTAAAATATTTGCTTTTTAATGAAAAAAATAAATAAAATGTGTTACATTGTCTTTCACAAGAAGTAACAGTAAAATATGAGTTAGCTCACGAAATCTTTTGAACTTTGTGACTACGAAAAGTTTCAATATTATTAAATTTTGTCATTTTATCTAGAGTTGTTTTTTTAGAAAAGTATATTATATCTAACGTAATGTTATACTTTTTACATTGAATTACTTGTTATTGTAAAGATTTGTTCTCGTTTTAAATATGCTAAATTTATTGATACGTATAGACAACATTCAAATCTGATAATGCCAATGGATGTTTAAACCACGGCATTAACAAAACAGTCAATTGACTGTGTTATGGATTCTACTAAAATAGTCAATCGCGGGAGCCAGGGATAACCCACAGAACTCAATGACGCGTACTCGGTACAATGTAGCTCTTGGTGATCGATGCTACCAAATGTTCGCACGATTTCGTCTCGCTTGACTGAGTGCGGACAACGACAAGTGTTTTGAACGCCACTTCCTGGTGCGTAGAGAGACGGTTCGGGGACTGTCCAATCGACCAGGATATGCTGTCTAGTTTTAGGGTTGGGCTCAGAGCTGTTTTGGTGGTGTCCCTTCCAAACTAGTAACAGCCGGGATGTGGAAGTTGTCGGGGGCTAGGGGTCAAAGGGACAGGAGGCAAGGGGATGTAAGGGCGTGGGCTTTAGGAAATAAGGGGCTAGGGGATATAGCCATGTCTAAGGTATTTAAGAGGCTGGTGGCAAGTGGAACAAAAGGGCCGGCGGCTAGTGGAGCTAAGTGCCCGAGTCTAGGGGTTTAGGGGGACCCGGGGCTGTGGAATCTAAGGGGCCGGGGATAAAGGATAAAACAGGCTGCGGCTAAGGGTCGGGGGCTAGGAGATCTAAGGCCCGGGGGGCTAGGGGATAAAGGGGCCGGTGGCTAAGGAGCATAAGGGCCGGGGGCTTTGGAATCCTAGTTTCTGGAGACTAGATGATCTAATGGGCCAGGGGCTAAGGAATCTAAATCGAGGGTCTGTGTGTCTCAGAGGATGGGACTAGGAGGATCTAAGGGCCGGGGGATGTGGGATATTAGGGGTCTGAGGATAGGGGATTAAAGGGCCCGGGGGATAGGTAATCTAGCATTATAATTAAACTCATTTTCCAGTCCAGGTTCAAATCAGTTTTGTTTGTTTCCCTCCAAGACAAAGTTTAGATGTGCGAGAGGGGTGGGCACTGAAGCGTTAGAAAGCTAATTTTGTTTCAGCCAAGGTTCAAAGCGCTTTGCTATTTCAAAAAAGTAATAATTAGTATGTGGAATAGGTAGAAAGTGGGGGGGGGGGGGGGGTAATAGCCTTAGAACAAAATTTGTTTTTTCATTCCAGACTAAGAATTTGTTTGGTTGTTTTTTATCATCAAAACTATTAGAGTTTAGTAATTGGGGTTGAGGGATGAGGAGTAGAGGGGGTGGTGGCTAAATCACTAGAACATAAGTAATGCTTTAGTCTATGTTCAATATTGCTTCAAATTTATAAATAGTAACTGCCTCTCTGGGCCAGATATGCGGGTGAGGGAAGGGCGGAGGGTTTAGCGTAAGAATGTAATACTTCTTTCAATGTAATTTCACATGTTTTTGTTTGCTTCGTATTACAGCTATGCAGGTCAAGCAATCGTTACCTCAAAAAAATGTTTTTGATTTATAAATTAGATTGTCTTAAAGCTTTTTAAAAATAAAGCTAAGCCATTAGTTTTTCTTCTCGATGTTTAAATCCAAGTGTTTAATTAAAATAATTCGCCAATTTGCTGAAGTTAATCACGTCCAATTACTGAAATCTCTTGACTGATGATCGTTATAGACCAGCACCGATTTTTATCATCTAGACATTCTATATTGCTTATTGATTGGTTTATATAGCACCACCACTTTGCTATATTGCTTATTGATTGATTATAAAACAACACCACCATGCTATATTGCTTATTGGTTAGTTATATAACAAAACCCGGTTCTTACCGTCCAACCCTGTTATATTGCTTGTGCTCATGAGCGGTGTCCCAAAACTTGAGTCCGCCTGGGACTTGACATAATACTTGTCGAATGTGTACAGAACATTGTCGCCAATACTGACAGACGAGTCGGCAGGCACTAGCCAGGATCCTGGGGGTAAAACAATCAACATATCAACATGTTTACAGTAATTTTTGACGTAGTAACGCGTAATGTAATGCAGCGGTAAAACGGTTTTTAAAAATTGTATTTTCTCTTAATTCAGCGACCATGCGGCACACCATGTATACGCACGTCACCCTGCCCCCTCCCTCGATTTTGAACTAAGGGGAGGTAATAACAAGTTCTGCTTGATCTTTTCATTGTCGTCTGCTTTTACTGGAGGCGGCAAGTTGGGGGAGGATAATCGTCCAACAAGAGCTATTGATAACGTTACAAGTGCAGTTTTTGGCAGTCTTGCTGTACATAAAACCGTAGCACGTCGCGTTATTGGCGCGACACTACTAATACAATAGCTAAAATAAACAACACATACCCAAAGTGCAGTTTCTGACAGTCTTGCTGTACAAAAACTGTAGCACGCCGCGTTATTGGCGCGACACTACTAATACAATAGCTAAAATAAACAACACATACCCAATGTGCAGTTTCTTTCAGTCTTGCTGTACATAAAACTGTAGCACATCGCGTTATTGGCGCAACACAGCTAATACAATAGCTAAAATAAACAACACGTACCCAGTTTGCAGTTTCTGACAGTCTTGCTGTACATAAAACTGTAGCACACCGCGTTATTGGCGCAACACAGCTAATACAATAGCTAAAATAAACAACACGTACCCAGTTTGCAGTTTCTGACAGTCTTGCTGTACATAAAACTGTAGCACACCGCGTTATTGGTGCGACACTACAATAGCTAAAATAAACAACACATACCCAAAGTGCAGTTTCTGGCAGTCTTGCTGTACATAAAACTGTAGCACACCGCGTTATTGGTGCGACACTACAATAGCTAAAATAAACAACACATACCCAAAGTTCAGTTTCTGACAGTCTTGCTGTACATAAAACTGTAGCACACCGCGTTATTGGCGCGACACAGCTAATACAATAGCTAAAATAAACAACACGTACCCAGTTTGCAGTTTCTGACAGTCTTGCTGTACATAAAACTGTAGCACACCGCGTTATTGGTGCGACACTACAATAGCTAAAATAAACAACACATACCCAAAGTGCAGTTTCTGGCAGTCTTGCTGTACATAAAACTGTAGCACACCGTAATTTTGGCGCGACACAGCTAATACGATAGCTAAAATAAACAACACATACCCAAAGTGCAGTTTCTGACAGTCTTGCTGTACATAAAACTGTAGCACGCCGCGTTATTGGCGCGACACAGCTAATACAATAGCTAAAATAAACAACACATACCCAAAGTGCAGTTTCTTGCAGTCTTGCTGTACATAAAACTGTAGCACACCGTGTTATTGGCTCTACACAGCGCGGCACAGGCAGCCACACTTGGCACCCTGGTGAACACGACATTGAGTGGAGACATTGAGTAGGGCCTCGTCACACGCTGGAAACTGACCGTCTTTATGGTGCCAGCCGCGCTTGTCAAGTTCCCTGTTACACAAAATTATTTTTAAAAATTGTTTTAATAACAAGCTTTTATTAAATAATGCACTAAAAAGGATTAAATAAATGATGTTATTTAAATATATAATAATACACTACAATTAAAATAACTATAACGAAAAGCGTGGGTCACTTTATTATCTATTGGATACCTATACCAATTTTTAGAAAGAGTAGACCCACGCTTTTCTATATAGCTATTTAAATAGTACGGTATTATGATATATTTAAATAGAATACATTTTTTTTTCTTTTTTTACTTTCTCGTATATACGAAGTATAGAGAAAGTATTGTAATCGTGCAAAAAAAAAAATCGAGATTTTTACAAATCTCGACGTTTTACATCTCACTGATACGGAAAAACATAATTTTGCAATCTTGTTCGTATGTCTGTGTGTCTGTCTGTGTGTCTGTCTGTCTGTCTGTGTGTGTGTAAACACGATAACTTGAGTACCGTTACAGCTAGGTTGATGAAATTTCATATATAAGTATTTTATCAAAATCGTAGATCCGTATCAACTTTTGAGCGATTTCCTACTTTGAAATTTTCAAAAGCCTATAACTTGAGTACTATTTCAGATGGATAAACGAAATTTCAAATGTAAGTAAAAGATCTAATCCTCTACCTTCTGTTAAATTTTGAGTCATTTCCGTTGAACGCAAGTAGTAATTTATGCTACTTCCGATTTCTCAAAAAACTAATGTAAATTTTTAAAGTACTAATAATATTGCGCACTATTATGCACTTTTTTATTTAGCGTTTACTTGGTGTGCAATTCTTTGTCTACGAGATTTTATTCTATTTTTAAAACTTTAAGTATTTAAAATGGATTAAAAATCATGTCTATAGCCCGAGTTCCCATCCCCTGTTATTTTATATAAAAATATTCGAGAAAGTTTAGGGGATATCACTCCCGGTTTATTTAGTGCATTATTACATAAAAGCGTTTTAATGAAAGTTCGAATACATTTTTATTGCAGTACGTTAAATTTTAGGACTAGAAACTATTGAGCACCAAATGAACATGAGAATGTGTGTATAATAGTGCGGAATTAGAAGACAGACACACTACTACTACTAATGATTTTAGGACATTTTAACTTATTCATAAAAAATTAATTATTCATTCAATTAAGACAAATTTGATATCAAATTGCATCGTCATCGGGTTTTGACCCACGTACTGAATTTCAGAACAATTGGTTCGTTAGAAGTGCTCAAAATTTCGCCCGCCAGTTTCGATCTATATTGTCAAAAAGATGACGGACAGACATATAAGGCACGTCAAATGAAATATTGTAAAAATCAAATCAAAATAATATTAAGATTGCACTTTATAGACAGTGAATTAATTTTAAACTCAATATTAAAAACAACTAAAATAAATGTACACGGAACTCTATGGTTATGGTTCGATTTCGTTGTATTTAGAAGAAAGTACCTAATTGATCAGTAAACAATCGTAAGTTTGTTTTATTACTTATATTCAACTGGTAATACTTTATTTTTTTCTATCGAAAAAATGTGAATAGTAAACCCAGAAAAATTTATTTAAAAAATATTAAAATATATACTTTAATATAAAGTAAAACATTAAAATATCAAAACATTGTTTTAGTATATAAGTATTAAGTATTATTAAGTCAAATACATTTCCTTACTTATGATTTCGGATGTACTTTCAAGCAATATGTTAGCAAGTACTTTCATGCTTAAAAATAATATTGTGTGTGTGCGATTTGTCGAATATGTCAAACAAAGAGCTGTTGAGTTGCATTGTGTTACATTATCATAACATAGTTAGCAAAAGTTCAGGGGAAAATGTTTTTCGTGCTAAAAATAAAAAATTGTGGTTACCTTCCTGCATCATGTGAGAAATCAAAAGACAAATCAGACATACGAAGACGTAGCTAGCCATAATAGGGGTTGTTATGTTACAGGATCATCTTCTTTCATCATGAGCTAGTCATCAATTCCTAGTGTAAAAAACAACAAAGAGTAAACTATTAGATATCATGTTTCTATAAACAGCCAATAAATTACATATAATAGTTACGTAAATATAAGCCTATATATATATATATATATATATATATATATATATATATATATATATATATATATATGTAATGGTGCAATTCAGTTAGTAGTATCAGACACAACTGTTTTTTAAATTAAAAACAATTTTTCGTAGGGTTGTTAAGCGTTTATAAAAAAAAAATTATTGAATATCTGAAAATGTTTTGACCACTATCAATTTTACTGGCTACAAATAATATAAATGAAGATGGTCAAATGCACTGTGTTTTTTATACCAAAAGTCTTCAAGCTCTACACTGAAACTACACACTAGTCCACAACTTGTGCAATGGAATCTTGTGAGAAAACCATTGAAGAATATGAAATATTGTAATAAATAGAATATTTAACCGAAATGAAACTTTCAACAGCATGCGCTAAGCGCTTAAAGTGAATTGTATTCACTACGCTTCATGAGGTGTATCTCTGTTTTAAATGTAAAAAAAAAATCAGTTCAAGAAAAGATCGCTTTCTTCAAATGCTAAGTAGATCAATGACAACAGGCGGCCGAGGACCGTAAAAGCCACCCCCTAAAGCGATGCGCGTTGTTTTCTGTTTGATGAATAATTCACTTCTTTAATGCGACTGACATTTTCCATCAAGTATTGGATTTTTTTCATGGAGAAAACATTTAACGAAATCCAATCGTCTTATGTAAGACATTTTGCATCGAGTATTGGATTTATTCATGAAGAAAACATTTAACGAAATCCAATCGTCTTATGTAAGACATTTTGGATCGAGTATTGAATTTATTCACGGAGAAAACTTTTAATGAAATCCAATCGTCTTATGTAAGACAATTTGCATCGAGTATTGGATTTATTCCAAGAGAACACGTATAAAGTGCACTATTGTTTCGTAAAGGGTTAAAATATTGCGTAATATTAGCACTAATCCAAAACTATGTATATTAAACAATATCATTCTTTAAAGAAGATATTTCAATTTGAGAAATGTATTCATTACAAAATTCGATCATTTATGTAATACATATTTTGTATGTCATTCCATTACACACTTGAATTTTATTAGTGTAGTGACTAAATTGCTAAGTGTAATATAAATCATCATATCTAAATTATTTCGTCTCTTTGAAATAATATAGTAACCCTTGATTTACACAATTTATTCTAATAATGTTCAATATTTTTAGAAAATTGAATGAAAACCTATGCAAAAGAAACGTTATAGATCTGTTTTAACGAAATACATTCTTAAGTGTGAGTATCAATCTGATAGAGCCAACTCTGATTAATTGTTTATAAAAAACAACCTTACCTTTGTATTTTATTGACTCTTTCGAATAGTGGGTTATTTCAAGTAAATCACATCATATTTTCATTTTCCAGGCACAGTTATTTTTCCTTATTTACAAAGAATAACAGAATGTTAGAAAAAAAAGCTTATAAGCACTCCTTTTGTAATGATTTTCCCATCAATATATTCAGATAGTTACCACATATTTTTGAAGTTTTCAATCCGTGATTTTTTATTTCACATTTTTGTAAATTTATCTAGGCTTGTATTGAATAACAACTGATATCACAATGTGAAACAGACTCAGGTTCTCCACACTGTTGTAATCTTCCTGTCGCCCGTGTTCAATCCAAGGACTTATCCATCCATTCAAGCTGGCTGAAATTTTAATTAAAAGACTTGACCGCCCGTATCGAAAATAATGACAGCTTACTTTTTATTTTAATTGCGGATTTCTGTTACAGTTTAATCGATATCCTTGATTTTTTTTTACTGGAAAAAGTTATTTCACGTAATGTTAAGGTAGTAAGAATGTACTAAGCGATACAGTGTTTATAATAGTATTTTATCTTATATAATATACATGACTAAAATAAAGAGCAAATACAAAGTATGCGACATTAAAAGTGACTTTTAAAATTGCGTGTAATTTTTCACTGTAATTATGCATGAACTAATTATTGAATATGCAAGGTTATCCTTATCAAGAAGTTTAGCGAAACAGGTTACCGTATTACATCTAAAAAAATAACCACTTGCTTCAACAACAATCACATAAAATGTCTAGTATTGATTCATTTGGGTTTTATACGTGGTTCGCAGAGCATGAAGAATGGGGCAGTGCTATACAAAACACATTAACATATCCGTCATCCATATTGAAATCTTTAATAAATCAATAATCGTTTATGTAAAAAAAAGACTGATCTTTAAAAAAAATCTTTAGGATTATAAAAAAAATAAGGGAAAACATGCTACTATAAATACCACTGTAATGTTCTGGATGATATCTACATCACTGTCGAATGTTTGTGTCTTGCTTTCTAATGAAAGCAGCTCGTAAAATAAGTGAGATTGTGAATAAAACCAGCGTGCACATACGCGGTGTATCAAAAACCTACCCTGAAAGCGAAATAACGGCTCAATGTTGAAACTTGAAAGGGCACCAACTGCCTTCAAATAAAGTTAGCCACCGTTTTCAAAATTGCAATAAGGCGCGATGGTGGGGGGTGTGTTGAGTGGGTTGAGTGGGTGGGGGGGGGGGGGGGTAATTATATTCGTGTTTTGGAGCCAAATGATTGACGAAATATGCAATATTAAATATTTAAAATTATACTCTATACGTAAACACCAATTTTAAAACAGTAACCATTTTAATTGAAAAAAAACAAAATGGTGCTTGTGATGTATTGATTATTCAACAGCTACAGAATTCTAATTCTTCGCTGTTGTTTATAATTATCTAGCGGAGGTTTGAGGCGTGGGGGTCGGGAGGGGGGGGGTTATAGTCGTGTAACTTTATCCACCAGGATGTTTGGTAGTCAACTGTGTGCTGTTGTTGACTATGTCTTCTAAAACTTGTCTGCTGGAGCACAATCGTATTCAGTCACGTCCACAGGGGGATCGCTATAGACTGCATATACACTA